TGTATCTGTACCTCTCCATCAGCAAGCACAATATGAATTAACATGCTTTAAAAAACAATACTCTTTTTCAAATTATTTGCAGCAATCAAATTTCCCTGTGTACCTCGGTGGGAGAACATTTGCTCACAGGATTAGCTGCTGCTGCCTGCCATGCTCTCCACACTATTAAGGCAACCACTGTAATCTTGTCAGTCATGATAAGGCAGAGCCTTAGCAGGGAGCTGCAGTTCTGACAGGGAGACAAGCAAATCTCCCTGATAGCTGGATAAGGCCCAGCCTGGTTCCATGGATGGTGTACACAGGATTACTGGAGACTGAACTGATCATTTTTTTTGTCTTCACATCAGTTCTGTTCTTCAGCCCTTGCCTGCAGGCCACCAAGTCAGGGGAAGAGTAGAGCTTATATCTGTGGTTCTTGGCCAGGTACAACTGAGGCCAAATAACAAAGACATTCCACATCACCCTATTCAGGATTTCATCTGCTGAGTCTGCCAATCAAGGAATTAATTAGTTCCAACTGTAGTAATTTATTTTCATGCATATATTCCCCCACTGGGGCTTAGCTAAAAGCACATACATTAATTTAATTAATTAGTGTTATGTGTAAAGGATGATGGAAAGCCTTATGGCCAAACATTCAAGAAAAATCCCTGGATCTATATATTTTACCTTAATAAGATTTAAGCAAAGATAACACCTTGAAATGATGCTTAGAAGATAAACAATACTTGGAAATAAATGTTTAGGTCTAAATTTTATTTACAGGAACTTTCTTACAAAAGCTAAGTTGACTTTTAGACTTCCTGTAATAATGAAAAATCAACATGAAATTACTGGAACTTTGCATTAATAGTAGCAATATCTGAAATAAAAAGCCTGACCTCATGAACTGACTTCTATTACTTTGATGCTCAAGGCATCAGCAGCAATAAAATTCATGAAGAAGTTTGTAATAAAAACTTTTTCAATCACATCAGCAGGTGAGGTGAACAGAAGCTGTTGCTGTAGAGAAAACTCATGGTGAACATGTAATTTTAATTTTGCATACAACCTTGATCTTCCCATCTTAAAACAGACCTAATGCAGCTGGAGGAGACACTGAGGAGGTCAAAGATAACTGAGGAAGATTTTGCATTTTTCAAAGCTGCAACTCAGAAAGACACAACTGAGAGGATGTACAGTAACTGTAAATAAAATCAGCAGTGGTGCAGAGAAAGCACTAAGATGTAATTACTTCTCTAAGTATGCATTATAGCTACTAGGAGACAGGAGATGGGGTAAATGGAATGAATCTGATCCAACATGAGAGAATCCTGATGATCAGATGAGTAATTTCTCTTAATTGCTTTTCCTTCCTTTTCAATCATCACCTTATTTACTACAGAACATGGAATTTCTTTTAGACAATACAATAACTGTAGCTTATCAGACATATTGTCCACATGAACAAAGCAGTTCGTGGACCTCACATGGTTCCATGCTGGAGCCACATCAGACCCAGATGAATTCATTAAGAAGCCATGACAGAAGCATCTGATGATGATGCATTTGTTTGTAGCTCATTACTCTGGACTTCCAGCCACACTGTGCCAGGAATTAGCTGCAGTTATGGTTTCCCATAGCAACAAGGTATATGGGACTAATTGCTCAGGAAAAAACAGCTGACTGGGAGCTGTACCTCCCACATGGAGCTAAGCCAGGTGTTCCCTAGGTATTCAGGAAAGTAAAACAAGGCTGCTCCATGTGCATCTGCAATACAGCTTGAACTTGGTCCACTTGTGTTCACAGCAGCAGCTCTTGTACCACACCCACACTGCTTCAGAGAGGCCTGATCACGCCAAGGAAGGATGGACTAAACCCACTAAACTTCCCCCCAGACTCCCCCGTTCTCATTCATTTAGAAAGAAATGAGCACAGGTAAATCTAGGTCTCTGCAATAGGGTGAGATAGGAGATTAACTTTCACAGGCACTTACAGTTTATAATAAAAATGTAACAAGTATACATGTCATCATGTCTTAATATTAACCATCGATCTTTTGAAGTACCAAGCACTGAACAGTATGTAAATGCAGGCTATACACACAGTAATAGGCACTCCAGATTTGTTAGGAAAGGGCACAACTCAGCAAACAAGCAATCCCATAAGAACACATTCTCCTAAATGCTTCACCCCAGCCCAAAGCAAACAAACAAATCCAGCCTGGATAGACTTCAACATTAAATGCTCAGTAAGCTATCACTCAGAATTTCTGGTTCCCCACTGTGCCTTCAAAGTAGAAAGCAAATGGTTTCATTTGGGATCTACTGCATGGGTGGGTTCAATTAATTGAAGGGGGGAAAAAGCTTCAACTGGCAGGAAAGATGAGGCGACAAAACCAAGATTGCAGTGGCTGGCAAATGAGAAAGCAAGAAATACATATCCAAAATAATCACGCACACAACAATATAAACTCTAATTTCATCAGAGTTTAGTAAGTCTTGTGCACAGAGCTGTGCTTACAAAGTCCCTGTCACTCAGTTCACTGTCCCTCCACAGACCAGCTCTGCACTGATTGTGCCTTAAATGTGACTGCGCCTTAAATGTGACTGCAGAGCAAAGTGCTGCAGGTAACACCAACCACTGCAAATCTCTAGTCCCTGCCCTGACAATGTGCTGTCACATCAGAGATGGCATCTGTTGTTTTCACCTCACAGGGCAGAGGTGTATTTGGCAAATTCACCACCCAGACACCGGACAGGGCAGGGAATTGGAGCTTTCTGAGGAGCTCAAACAGCAAAGCATCAAACCTCTGCTCATGTCCTGCCCCAAACACACATCAGCACGTGTACCTGTGGATTTCTGGGATGCAGTTATCTCCCTCTTTCCTGAGGAACTCGGGTGCCGTTTGTGTGACCTACACAGGCAGGCTACAAAAGGCTCCATTTGATGCTAAATACTGCAGCAGTGCCTTCTCATGGGCAGGTACAGAAGCCTTTTAATTTCAGTGAGTGGCTTCAAGGCAAAAACCCTAATGAAGACAACATAATTTGCGGTGTCAATAGCTATTAATGCCATGAGGGCTGCAGAACACACTGAGCTTTGATTTAATATCTCCCTCTTAGAGCATACTCTGCCTTCATAATAAGAACAAGGCCAAGGAGGAATAACCTCCAGCTGCTCCTGCAGATCAGGAGCCTACAGCCATACATTACTTTCATTGACATTTTCTGCTTTGAGAAAAATCAACACAAAGTGCTATCAGAATACAGGTCACCAGACCCAAAGAATATCCCAAAAGATGTCAGATTAGATTCATAAAGCATTATCTACTATCATTTTGAGACTTGAGAGAGCATCTCTTGCTCCTTTGGGCTCCAGGGGAGCTCTGATCCCAGTTAGCTGTCCTTTCCAAATTAAGCAGAAACTTGGCTGGTTGACTCTGATCTTATGCAATATCTACTTTTGTCTGCTTACCCCCACCTCTGCAGCAGCCTCTTCTCCACCAACATTTCTGAGGTGTAAATGGTGATAAAAGCATAAATAAAGTTTCTTTCCAGAGAGGGTGAGAGGAACTGATAAGGAAAGTGCATGAAATGTGAGTGACTGAGAGCAATGGCAATTAGAAAGAACCAAAGAGCAGCTGGACTGGAACTCTGGGAGGGCAATGGCCTCAGCTGACACTTATTCAGAAGATTTGATAATCCATTAACAAGGAATTTTAACCTCCAAGTGCAGACACACAGGTGCTGCTGACAAGAAACTCAAGCAACTAGAAGGAAAAAATACAGAGGGTAACTTTTTAGATGTGAATTCCTGTCAGCCTTTGGCACCTGATCATTAGTGCTGGTACTTAGTATAAAGCAAAAATATCTGGCAGTTTGAAAATTGTGCCCACATATAATTATTGTGCTGGCAGTCACTATATTCAACAAGATCATGCAAAGAAGTGCGTGGTAATTTCTGATAAAAAGACAGGCAACTCCTCCAGCCACTTCTCTATGCTACTGTGACAACACAGGAACACAAAGGTGATTGCTTTCTTTTCTGCCACTACCCTAAAATTAAGCCTTTCCCCACTGACACTCACTTGGCTCAACACCTCTGAGCTGATGAGAACATTGAGGTAAACCTTTTCAGTTCCTCTTTAATCATCTGGACAGTTGGAGCAAAACTGAAGTCAGGCAAGCAGGCCAGTGAGGAGCTGGCTGTAAAGAAATTACTATTTCTTTAGTAGAAGAGTCACAATATAAATTTCACATCAGACCTCTATATTTTTAAATATTTTCATTTTTCTTTCTTATTCCGTGCAAAAAACCTCAGTCACTGTCTTCTACTGACACTTCATTTTGAGACAGAATGCAATTCACTCCCCTAAGTTGCCAGAAAGGGAATCTCTTCAAGCTCTTGAATAGTGAACAAAATATGAAAAAAGTCTATACTAGACTGCAGGACAAACTACCCAGTTGAGCTGAGTAGTCTTGGGACAGGTGAAGTCAGAGGGAAAAAATAAAAGAGAAAAAAATGCAAGAAGAGAAAAAGAACTTCAGTTACAGCAGAAATAATGCAGTTTTAATGGACCATGGAATATCAGATACCCAGCAAGAAGATGACCTTTTCTCCAGTGCTGAAATAACAAAGCTACAGAACACAAACGGTGATAAACCAACTTCAACTTTACAAAATCAATTTATGTGAGAATAAAAGAACGAAAGACATGACCTTTTCTTAGCTATTAAACAAACTAAATCCATTCTACTGAAGTCTTCTTTTTGAACAAAAGTTATTGCCTGACCTTTCTTATTCCAGTGCAGGATGCAAAGTGACTGGGCAAAGCATTTTAAGCTCTTTTGTTCTTCCTAAATCAGAGGTTTGTGCCACCACAGAGGGGAAAACAGTGCAGATCCTTCCTAACCCCAACACAGGAGCTTCTGTAGGTACCACCAGACATCTGTAACATGACCCAAAGACATGGGGCAAAGACCACACAGGCTGGTGCTGGAATAGGAGTGGATATTTAGGCTGGAATAGGACTGGGTATCCAAACCAGCCCTGTATCTCCACAGGATCCTACAACACACAGGTATCAGTTCTTGATCTGCACAATGAAGACTATTAAAAGTGATCTGTGCTAATGGAACACTATTACATCAACACTGAGATTTTATACCTAACACTGATACAATTTTGTATGATATTCTCAAAGAATCAGAGGCATAAAATGCATTTCCTGAAATTACTGCTCTCTGTGATATTACCACGAGATGAGTTCTTAGTAATTTATTGGATTCTCTACATTAACTGTTCTATAAACAGTATAAAATAAAAATATAATGTAAATGAATGACAATTACATAATGTCATGTTAGTCTAAACATAATTTTACCTGTAATTTTTCTCTTGTGGGGTCAGTATCCAAGTAATATTCAACAGGTGGATGTTGCTGACTGGGATAACTGCAAAATAGGTTTATTCACTGAAAATAGAAACAAGTCATTATTTCCAATCCTTCTAATCCCAAGATCCATCTGTGAGCAAGATATTTTATTTGATGTACAAAAAACACATGCATTTGCATACGTGGAAATGTATAAAAACATACACATTAATTCCCGAGGCTGCTCTGTTAAACACTGTCAGTAAGGGGCTGCTCATGCACCATCCTGTGGTTTAACGGGACAGACTCACAGTCACAGGAATCCTGACTGACTGGAAATCAAGAATCATTTTCTGAGACAGACAAATCACTTTATTATGAGAAATAACTCCTGGCTTCTGGAAGGGGATTAGTGTATCACAGGCACTATCATCATTTTCATCTTCGTTTGGGATTCCATCCTCCTGTTTTCTCTTTTTTATCATTGAAAAACTGCCAGTGAGATGAACATGGAACAAAACTAATCTGATGGCTCCTGGGGGCAGGAGAGCAGTTGTGCTCAGCAAAACAGAATTTTGAAAAAGTTGACCAAGAAATCTTTGAGATCAGAGAAGAAGGACAGGAGAACATCAGGACTGAGAATTGTACCTCCTGGCTGTGAAATAATAGTGCTCAAAACCGAGAATCTGAGATTATATGTCTCCATGTAGGGACAATCTTTAGCCAAAAACCATAGAGAAGGTGGAGAGAAAAAATGCTGGTATCTTCAGAGCTGAAGAACAAAGAGCATTAGTGACCAAGGAGGATCTGTGACACTGCCAATCCAGGGCCTGCCCATCTATTGCTCCCAAGAGCTCTGAGACCCCTGAACAAAAGCCCCAGGGTCCTGTGAAAAGGTACCTTTACTGATACAGCAATCTTCTTCTGGATAAGGAAGAAAAGGGTTGCCATGGCAACCCTGAATGAATTCAGCACATCACCTGCACACCAAATCTATCTGCAAAGGCTCTCTGGAAAGTTGGGTGTTTGCCTGCTTCTAGTTAGGGGTCCATGAAAATTGTACCAAGGTCCTCCAAACAAGGATTGCACAGGAAATGGATGGGACTTCTGCACCCACCAGATCAAAGGCTGCTCAGAGGTACAATTATCTATGTAAAAGGAGAGCACTGTATTTTTCTTGACAAAGATTTTCAAATAGCTGTAAAGACTGGAGAGTCTGATCTGTGCAGGGAACAAGTAAGGCCTGGAAGCTTTCTGTGACAAGGCAAACATGCCAGAGTTGTTAATCTTTTTGCTAATGAAGCCTCATGTTTGGATTTCCTCACCTATTACATCGATTTCCTTCTTTATAGAATAAGGGAAAAGCAAAGAACCAAAAATTGGAATCAAATACGTTGGAAGAACAAGTTGTTTAGAAGCAACGACAAGTAGGAGCAAAAATGAACTGCAAAACCAATTAAAACATATGCAGAAATGCAGGTAGAAACGGTAGAAATAGATAAAATTCAATTCAGCTTCTTGTCAAAGTGTAGCAGAGAACATGAGGTAAAATCTAAAAGTTTCTGTTCTATATGCACTGCCCCTGGTCTCTCAACTCTGTAAAGTTTGTGAAATTCTGGTGTGCCAAAAGGCCCTGTAAAAAACATTTCAAATAAAAGAAAAAAATCAGCACAGTGTTTATTGCAGCTAAAGCAAGGCCACATGGGAGCAAAGAGAAGTTTCTTTGCAACCCTTGTCTGAAGTATCATCTGTCTGAAGGATGCCCTTTGAAGTGCCATGGCTCAGGACTCGGGCATTCCAACCAAGGAGGTAAAATGTTCAACACTCCTTTGGATATGTCCACAAACATACAGCCCTTTTGTGGACATAACCCACCCCCGAAGGAAGGTCATGGGCTGAAGGTTAAATAAATACCTGTGTTTGCTCCCTGCCACCTGGGGAACCTTCAAACAGAGGCTGGTAGTTTTGTTTAAACAAAATCAGCTTTCACAGAAATACATGACCAGAATGCAGCACTTGGCCAATGACTGAACAAAGAGCCTGAAACCTGCAGTGATATAAAATACCTCTCTCTTATGTAATACCAACATTTTTGGGAACTACTTAGAGGACAATTCACAAAGGCTAATTCCAGTCAAAATGTGCAGATTCTTTCTCAGAAGCAACCACTGGGGACAAGCTTCCCCATGACAGCCCTTGGAACTACCTCTGTAAAATTCTGAAGTGAGAATTAAAGCACTTTTGCAAATACTATTGTGTAAGTTGAAGCCACAGTTTTATAATGAAAAAACACAACTATTTAAATAATATATATTTTTCTTAAATTATTTGTGGAAATAAACTATAAAGAGGGGGATTCATCTGTACTGGGCCAGTTACTCTTCCAGGCCAGCAGTTCTCATACACTGCTCTGCACCCCAACTTCCAGCCCTGCCAAACCCAACAGATTCACATGGGGGCTGACTTTCCAAATGAGAAAGCCAATTACATTATAAACCTGCATTTGGCACAAAAACCATCTACAGAAAAAGCAGAGAATCAAAATCAATCAAACCCAAAAAGCTTCATTAAAATACACAAAAAGATTCACATGAGAGAGCTGCTCTTGTCTGAGGGCAGGGGGATGAACCTGGCAACTGTGACAGACCCTTCCAGGCTTGTTTTCTATTACCTTCCATTAATCTTTCTCCTTTTCAGGCACTCCTTTACACATCTGAGTCTATGTGAGGCTCAGGATTTTTTCTTCTAATACACATGTCAATACACCCCACTTTTGTTTGCTCAGCCACCACCAGGGAGTTTTGTCTTGTGAGCAATGAACGTCTTTCAGTCACTAACCAGCCCCAGCAGCCCAGCACTGCAGGGAAAACCTCACCTCAGAGAGCAACAAAGTCATTTCACTTGGCACCAGAACTGTCAGTGGTCCTTTACAGACCTGTACTTTTAACCAAGTAGATAAAACTTATCTATATCACAATTTTAAGATACAAATCAGGCTGTTTTTTCTAAACAGTGTTTTACAATGCACAGCTCAGTGTTAACACAGAGACACACTGTCAGTTTGTCTCCAGCAGACACAACAGGCTGCTGACTCAGCTGTATTTTGATACTAATTATCTTTCACACAATGAAGAGGCACAGGAATTAACATTCTTCAAATCTAGAATACGATTCTCTTCCCAGCAGCTAAAGAAGTAACACAGGCATAACAAGGATCTATGTGCAAAGTCAAGGTCCACACCATGAGAATATCAAATGCTATTGAACACATTTTGAAGAAACATTTTATGGATTTATTAACTTTCAAAGATTACTTAGTCAGTGAAAGTAGTTTCTTTGATAAGGGAGTCAATAAGAATTAAAGCCTCTGTAGATACAATGGGAAAGAATTGCATAAAATTGTGTATGTTTAGAACATGGTCTCACCAGTTACAGACATGGAAAAATATCAGAAAACAACCTGAATTATTTGGAATCTGTGAAATAATTTCTGTCACCCAGTTCTCCAAAGTGCCCAACGTCTCTAGTGAGGAGAAAAAAAATAGCAGGAATGCAACTATTTCAACAAACAATCATAAATCTTAGAATGTTAAAACTAAGTTAAATTAGGGATCCAAAGTAGGTTGATTTATTTGAGCTACCTGCTCTTTTACTGACATGAGAAAAAACCCCAAACAAATAGAAATATTCAGAGCACGTTTATCCAATTTCTCCCATTTCTCCAAGTCCCAGAGATACCTGTTCCCCATGGGTCAGAAGTGAAAATCATGGAGATTTTGCTCTTCTTAAAAAAGCAACAAAAATACCCCCAACCCAATCCCCTTAAAACCAGCATCAGTTCAAGATTCCATATGCACACTGTTACATTACAGTGTAAAATAATGCTAAAAATGTGTATTAATAGAGACATTTTCTTCAGAGACAGAAAAATCATTCTTTGCACATGCTTTTAGGCGGAATGAAAGGAACCACAATGTACACATTCCTCTTTCACAAACACATCCTTAAGCCAATGCACTCAAGTGTAGTATGTTTTTGATTGTGAGTGTGTCAAGATAACCCAAACACCCCTGCCAGCAACACTCCATCCATTGTATCACCATCAAACATGACATTTAAGAACACAAAAAACCCTAATATACACACAGCAAAAAGCATTCTTATCTCACCCATAATATGCATTTATCATAAAATATATTAGTATACAGAAGTTAAAGAGAGTTGACATCTCCAGGAGGAATTAAAATGCAGGTTTGCTCTTCCTTCCAACACAGTAATTTAAACAAAAATACATTAAGTACTGATATTCCTGAATAGGCTTATAAACAATTTAGACAATTACAGTAGAGTCATTCTCTCACAAAAAAAACCCAAAAAAATCCCTGAACCTGAAGACAACGCAGACAGTACTTGGTATTACCTTTAGACTGAACAACCAAGTTCACACAATAAGCAGCATAAACCACCTAAATGAAAAATCACCAGTGTAAAACCCATTTCCAGTTCTACCACAATACAAAATGCCTTCCCCCATTCTGTGTCCTCAATGAAAAGTGTCCCATCTGCTGATCAGCATAAGAGATACCCTATGTCAGAATTTTTCTTTCAGAAGGGAATATCATACAGAAGGGCCTGTCTCTGGTTATCTCCCTTCAGCAGTTCCAAAGAGCAAAGGGACAGGTGTTACCCCCAGTCCTCAAACTTCAGGCCACCGGCGATGAGGGACCTCAACAAACCAGTCCCAGTGAGGCACCAAGCTGCCTCAGGAGACAGAAATGTGGGCATTGTAGTTATTTTTATTCTGATTAAAGGCATATACACCCAGTGATTGCTCTGTCTCTGAAGAAAATCTCTCTATAAATACACATTTTAGCTTTATTTTACATAGGATGGAAGGATTGTAATATAACAACCTGGGTATCGAATTCTTGCAGTGACACTGAATGCCAACATCTGGGCTCATAACAAAGGGAGAGCTGCACGTCGTGTCTTTCATTACTATGTATAAATATTATAAGGAAGCCCTTATTAGCAGCAAGTGAATAATTTTCATTTTTTTGCCTAGAAAAGGCCACAGGTTTTAGAGCAGAGGATGATGCACCTTGTCCTTCACTGACCGAGCCCTGCAACAGGTCAATCCCAGTGTGGATGTGTCCAGTCCCGTCCCAGCGATGGCACACAGGCCATGGCCACCACCGCTGCGGCATTTTTCTGTCAAACACCGCAAATACCACAACGACAGAACAGCTCTGCCCCAGCCGCCTAGGGCTGGGCGCCCCTCAGGGAGCCCCCCGCGGCGAGAGTCCGAGCCTCCCCTGGGGCCGGCGGGGGTGCGGCGACCCCTCACCTGCACCGTTCCGTGCCGCTGTGGGGTCGGGCGGTGGCGCCTGGCTGCTTCCCGGCTGGATTTGGGCTCTGTCCCGGCTGGATTTGGACTGAGGGGGCGGGGCCGCTCCCGCCCCTCACGGCCCCGCCGCCCGCCAGGGGGCGCGCGCGCGCGCCTCCGAGCCCCGCCGTGACGCAAGCGGCGCGCCCCGCCGAGGTGCATGCCGGGCCGGCGGCGGGAACATGGCGAGCGACTTCTACCTGCGGTACTACGTGGGGCACAAGGGGAAGTTCGGGCATGAGTTCCTCGAGTTCGAGTTCCGCCCCGACGGTGAGAGCGGGCAGGGGCCGGGGGGCACCGGGAGGGACGGCTCTGCGCTCCCCGAGGGCTCGGGGCCGGGCCGCCCCGGCGGGTTTTAACGCGCGGCCTCTCCCCGCAGGGAAGCTGCGCTATGCCAACAACAGCAACTACAAGAACGATGTGATGATCCGCAAGGAGGTAAGTGAGGGGGGCGGCGGCGCGGGGGTCGGTTTCCCTGCTGGAATGGTGTGTGCAGGGGTTGTAGTTCCATGTTGGGATGTTGTGTCCAGGCTTACGTGCACAAGAGCGTGATGGAGGAACTGAAGAGAATCATCGACGACAGTGAAATCACGAAGGAAGATGATGCTCTGTGGCCACCTCCGGACAGGGTGGGCCGGCAGGTGGGTGCATCTAATCGGTGCTTTAATTTCCGTGGGTAGCTCCTTGGAAGCATAACAGAACTTTTCCCTCAAGGCTGTGTTGATTCCAGCCGAAAGGGAAACAATACTACCTTAAAACCTGAGTAGTGACTCAATGGCAGCTTAGCTGTGAGAGTTAATATGATTCACAGACCTGCTGCACTCAATGTCTCTGTAATAGAAATTTGTAAAAAAAAAGTAAGTTATCACAGTACTTAAGTATTTCTGTAACTTGTACCACAAAGCAGTAGAGTTCCCATAACCTTTTATTTTTCAGGAGCTTGAGATAGTAATCGGTGACGAGCACATCTCCTTTACTACGTCAAAAATCGGTTCACTCATTGATGTAAATCAGTCCAAGTATGTACCCTGCTTTTTTAAGTTGGTGTTGTTTTTATTTAACAATCTATATTAAACTTGCTGATCACTGGGTACCTGTACTTTACATTGTTTCAAGGTACAAATCAGTTCCTGGGGACACTGCTCTGTGTTGCAGTGTAATGTACCAGCTGCCTTTACACTGTGGCATTACACGTATTTTCAAATACCTTGCTATAGGAACCCTGTCAGATGTGTTCATAGGCCAAACTGACCTGCCATTCACCTGTCTGCATCAATGTCTTTGGGAGAACCGAGAGTTCTGTATTTCACCAAAGCTGAAAAGATTGGCTGTCATGTTTGGTTGGTTTTTTTAATCCTAAGTGCTGTTGCTACTTGGCTTTCATGAAAAAAAAAGCACATCTTGTCAAGACTTAAAATATGCAAACCTGGAGTGCAAAATGTTTTATCAGTCAATGTAGAATGAAAAAAAAACCTGTTCATGTCTAAAGTGACCTCCAAAAAGTCTCCTTACAGGCGTTGGGGTTTTTTTAATAGGTTAGTTCTATAAACTCTTCTAAAAGAGCATCAATCTTAAACTTCTTTTGTTTTCTTTCCTTCTGTTGTGCACTGCAGAGATCCAGAAGGTTTGAGAGTATTCTACTACCTGGTCCAGGACCTTAAGTGTCTCGTCTTCAGTCTTATTGGACTGCACTTCAAGATTAAGCCAATTTAAATCAGACAAATTGAAGTTTGTATTACATTCTGTATGGGGGAATGGGTGGGGGGGAGGATGCTGTTCCAGCTTGTCAGGGTTTCTGGCCTGGAGCTTTTATGTATTTCAGATTTTTTTTGTTGTTGTTAAAAACTGTCAGTGAATGTCTTTATTAAAAGGATGAGATTTCTTTTTAATTTTTGAGTTGTGAGAGACTGACTTCCTAACGCTTCTTTTAGCATGATACACTCAGGGTATGTGACATCACTTGTATCATACACATCCTATATTTCTCTGTCTACACAGCAGTAGAAAATGGAATTAAGCCTAGCTTTCTGAAACGAAACTTCAACCAGCTGTCAGGATAAACCTCTTTTACTATCCTAAGCTGGCTATTCTGTTGGCCAGCCCAAAAGTGCAAACCAGCTGACTCTGCACATGAAACCTGGTGGTAGCAGACACGCATCATCTTCCTCATGTCCTGAGCTCACCTGTTTGCCCCCAGAGCACAGGTGGACAACAGGCCCCCAGGAGCCACCCAGGATCTTCACTGACGCTCCCGTCCAGCTTCGGAGAAGCTTGAAAAGCAATGTAGAATGTATTTACTTAGGTTCTAGTCTAGCAGATCTGTTGTGCAGCATTAATTAAAAGACTTTGAGGGGTCTGAGGCTCCCCGTGGGCTCAGAGGTTGTTCCCCACAGCAGCGCTGCCAAACTGTGCCCTTGCTTTCTCTGGCACATCTATATTGGCTAAGTCAGTAGCCACTGCGATTAAAAAACAATTGTGGTTAAATGGCTTTTTAAAGGTGCGAACCCCCACTGCCAGTGCCAGTCCCTCCCGCTTTCCCGCCCCTCACCACAGGCACCGCCCGCCCTCCCCGCCCCGCCGGGGCGGTGACGGGGGCCATCTTGGCTGAGGGCAAGCGGGGCTTCGCGTCGGCTTCAGCCCGGCAGGGAGCGCCGGGCGCGGCCGCCATCTTGGCTGAGGGCACGGCCTCGGCGGGGCAGAGGGAAAAGAGAATTCCACTAAAATTCCACGGAGGAGCGGCCGGAGACCCGCGCGGCCATGGGGGTAGGTGGGACCGCGGCCGGGCCGGGCCAGGCCGATGCGATCCGGGCTGACGCCGCTCCCGCCCCCCCTTGCCTTGCAGAGGATCGGGCTGCAGCTCCGCGCCACGCTGGAGAACATCACCCGGCTGCGGGCCGAGGGCGAGGACTTCCGATGGTACCTCAAGGTGCGGCGGGGCCGGGGCCGCCGGGGGTGTCACACATCCCGCGTTAGTGACAGCTCTCAGCTCTCTGACTTCTGTTTTCCAGCTGAAATGTGCGAACTGCGGCGAAGTCTCTGAGAAGTGGCAGTACCTGCGGCTGATGGTTCGTGTCCCTCTGGTAACCTGCCTCAGAACAAAAATGGGAACACGAACCTGCCTCTTACACACGTATTAGCATCAGGAATGGGACAACTTGCACTTCAGACGAGTTTTTCAATTGCTATATGCGTTTCATAGCTTTTCAGTAGCTATATGCAATTAGAAAACGCTGTCATATTCCATACTAAAAAAAATTTGGATACTGTTAATTGAAATATGCCATTGGAATGGTGACTGTTGGTGAGCAAGTATTTACATCTGCTCTAAAAAAACAACTTTCTGTAAAAATAAAATTTGAGAACAAATTTTGAGGTGATATCAGAATAAGGTTGTGCCTGTAAATATTTCTCTGATGCTGATGGAATATTTCTGGAGAAATTTAGGTAATTCAAGGTGAGTTAAGCATGCTAAATTAGCACTTAGAAACTGAAAAAGCAGGATAAAAGATAAGGGATAAGAGAAGGTTCCGTTCTTCAGAATGATGATCCTTTTTTCTTGCACAATACTGAGTGGCAAGAATGTATTTTGAGGAATTAATAGAACATGCCTCTGTAGACCAAGACATAACTATCCACTATTCCCTGTTCTAAGTCTAGAACAGAATTATTCTTTGATAATCGCAGCTTCTTGAATTACTAATCTCTTGTACAAAAAAAAGCCTTCTTGTGGCAGTATTTTTAAGAAGTGAAAGACTGTTGTAAAAACTGCTTTACCTTTGCAGAGGCTTCCAGTGGCTCAGCTGAAGTGCAGTCACAAATGTCTCTGCTGTCGTGGTTTTTAGGACAGTGCTCCCCTGAAGGGCGGCCGAGGCAGCGCCACGATGGTGCAGAAGTGCAAGCTGTGCTCCAGGGAGAACTCCATCGGTACGTGCTTACATGTTTAACAGGCACCATCCACTTGTCACTTTGTCTCCCAAGTTTTTTTTTTAGTCCCCATTTTTGCTTGTAAAGAGCATTCACCAGGGAATTCTTCCCTTGCACACCAGTGCTCGAGTTCACAACAGGTACACACTCGACATCACGCTCATGAAGGAGACAGCAAGGCCTGGTGAGTCCAGGTTTCTGCATGAACAAAACTCATCTGTAATGTCATTTTACAAAGCATGCAAATTTTTTTTGCATTGATAAGGTAACAAAATGATGCAGTGTAAACTCCTCAGGAGAAGGGAGAAAAAGTGAACTCTACCTTCTGAAGGCCAGCTGGAGGAAATGCTTGGTGCCTTTGTTTCTTTTATTTTGTATAAGGAAATTTCTTTGAAAGAACCTGGTGCTTGGTTTGTGCTGAGTAAAACTGAAGACATAATGCAACTCACTTTTACACTTTTTCTTTGTTTTAGATATTTTAAGTCAGACAATCAAGCCTTACAATGTAAGTTGGTTTCCTCTTCTATATAACGAGAGATAAATAAGCATTAATACTATTTCGAGTTTTTGCTTTATCATCCTCTTTCAAGAACACAAAAGAAGCTGGTATTGTTCCCTGACAGAAATTGTCTCTTGTAGACTCCTGCACAGAGTCTCAAGTGTAGAATAAACTGACACATTTCATAAGCCAACACAGAACTGTATCACTCAAATTAGAGGTGGTTAGGCCTGTATTAGCAGACTAAGAAATTCTAGTTAATGACCACCTATTAAATGAGCCCTAGGATTTTGCTGTCACTTGGGACATCAGAGATGACAGTACTGCCTTTAAAGCAATCCATTCCTAAACTAATGCTTGTCACTGTCTCTATTAGAGGGAAACTAATGGAATTCTGGCTCAATTACAGGCTGAAGACAGTGAGAAATTCAAGACAATAGTGGAGTTTGAATGTCGAGGTCTGGAACCGGTTGACTTTCAACCACAGGTGAGTTCTTACTTGTGATTTGTTTCTCAGTTTTTAAAAACGCTTCTTGTAGACTCTAGAGTGATAAAATACACACTGTTTGAAATGGTTCTGGAACATCCTAGACCTCCCCAAATTCCCATTCTCCCCATGGGATTCCCATCCACTTTTTTTCTATTTCATTTGACTCCAAACAAACCCAGAAACACTAACAGATAACACAACTCTGGTATTCTTGGTGCCAGGAAAATCTAACACTAGGCACACCTTGGAGTCTTACTCCACCTGCCTTACAGGTGACTCAGCACTGCTCACCTGAACTCACCTGAGAGGTCTTCATTGCTCAGGTTATCGCAGAAGAGTCTTTCCCAAGGGGAATTGTGAGACTGCAGTGTTGGACAGAGCACCACTGTGCTCCTTGCTGTGTTACAGAGAGCACATGCAGTTCAGGTGATGAACACAATTCCTCTAAAAAACAAACCAATTTTCTTTGGGATTTGACATCACTAAAGCCACAGGGAGTGAATACTGGCAGTTCTCCATGTGAAACTTGAGCAAAGGCTGAAGATCACCGGCACACTTAAAGGCTGTTGCAAAGCACACCTCAAGGTTCAGAGTTAAAGGATTTCTTCAGGGCCACACCAGTCTGCAGTGACTCATCTGCTTGTGCACGGTCATGCCTGTTAACTCCCTACTATATTTAACGTATTATTCCAGTCGGATTAGGTGTAAATAGACTGACAGATATAAACCTGTCTTATCCTTCCCTCAGACTGTGATGCTGGGCTAAGAAACAGCCCAAAGAAGCCAATCCTACAACGAATTTGATATAAATAGAATCCCCACTGCAGAGTGCTGCAGGAGGTCTTTATCTGTTTATTTAAGTGAAGCCCATCTTTCTGAAGAACAGTGGTTATTAGTTTATCCCTGTTTGAAAGCTATGCAGCCAGACCTAGGAACTCGCACCTCAAGAAAAATCTATGGGAAGACTACAAAATATAGGAGATGTTTATAGCTCTGCATCCTAACTGTCAATTTTATTTTTATCTGGAAAAAAAAAGCTTCATTAAAGCTTTTAATTTAATCTAAATTTGGTCTCTGCACTTGACTGGAGAGTATACTTGAATTCCTGAAGAGGTATTTGAGTGAATTTTCTGATGCCTAAATCAGTAAATGAGAATTTTCTGATGCCTGTATGACTTCTGCAGTTCCAAACAATTCTGTAAACTGCTTTATATTTGACATGATCCAAGCCAGCCTGGCTTCTCCACAGCCTTACATCTGGCTTTTGATTAGCACCATGGCCATAGTATTACAGTATTTTCTCTCTATTCTTGGTAGACCTAATACAAACACACCTGAAGTCAATTTAAAGTGGCTTAATGCTTGCATGTCTTATTTAAATTGTAGTTATCTAAAAAAAGAAAGCAGAGAAAGTATCCTTTGATTCTCCGGATATACACCCTCCTTTTAGACCTAGTACAGAAGCGTGTAATTCCAGACACGTGGCTCCTTGTTCCTTGGAGGGCTGGTGAGTGGCTCCAGGTGGCAAAAGCAGGGCTGCTTCTATTTTTCTAGTGTTTGTTCTGTACTGCAGCTCTGCAGTTTTGTCCCATGCTGCTGATCTTCCTCTCCATCCCAGCAGTTCCCTTGAGATGGGCTTCCAACAGTTCTAGAAGGGCCACTGTGCCCTGCAGATCACTCTCCTTGTGTTAGATCTGACCCACTCTGTGGTTTATTTAACTCCCAAGTGCTTAACCTTCCTTCAGATCCAGAAATATTTTAAAATCAAGTGGCTTACTTTGCACATTCTTACACAGCTAAATGTCTGACTGGCATTAGTGGGATTTCTCTATCAAAAATGCAAGTGTAGATCCCTTGCAGAAAACCAGGAAGAAACATGGATTTTTAGCCACTTGTTAATAAAATTCTGTAATTAGAAATGGCAATGTAAGGAACCTTCCTGTATGCTACAGAAGTGGCTGGGATTTTTAAATATACAATGAAATTTTGTGTTGAGTTACTTTCTTTAAATATGTTTCAATGATCATATTTATTATTTTCTTGGTACAACTTATTTTTAAAAACTTTCTGCAAATGTGTTTGCAGGCAGGGTTTGTTGCTGAAGGTGCAGAATCTGGCACACCTTTCAATGACATAAACCTGTTGGAAAAGGTATGTTGTCTTAGTTCCATTAGTAAATCTAATTATTTAGCTTGCTTTCCCCAAGTCACTAGTCCAAAATACACACCCTGCTCTTTCCTGTAGCCACAGGAAGGTCATAGCTGGAGAGAGGAACTGCATCAACTATGAACAACCAGCATTACTAAGTGTCATTTTAGAAGTAGGTATTTGATAACTTAGCAGCTGGCAAAGGGAGAAATGCTACTTTTATTTAAGTCACTCAAGAATTCCAGAGAGCAGGAACCTGGAATATTAAATGGCTGGGGTCACGAGAGTGGTGAATTGATTTTTCTAGGAAGATCCCTGCACATTTTCCTATGCACAGAGGTATTAAAAAGTAATACAGACACTGTCCTTCAAAGCTCAGGATAATGACACCAGCATTGCAAATCTTCCTTGGCTGTGAGCAGGAATCTCAAGGTCAAATCTGTTCCCTGGTATCCTACTTGGCAGGGATCTGCATGTCTGCTTACCCACCTGACTAAGGTATTGTAAATGATAGATAATCCTTTCACCTGCCATGGCTGCTGTCTTGTCCACTACAGGCTGTGGACTACATATGAAAAAATCTACAACATTATATAAATAAAAACACTGAGACTGAAGGTAATTTAATTTCAGGTCGGTGCTTTTGCTTCTCTCACCTGTCAGAACTTAACTTGGTGACTGCACAGTGCTTTCCACAGAAGTCTAAGACCCAAATTTTGAGTAACATTTGGTTTCAGTTTGAATTCCAGTCTGTGTGCATTCTGTCATCTGTGACTAACACTGTGAAATCTTATTTCCTACAGGATTGGAATGACTATGATGAAAAAACGAAGGAATCTGTTGGGATCTATGAAGTTACCCACAAATTTGTAAAATGCTGAAGTTCACAGCCCTAATAAATCTTGACATGCTTATTGATGGAGGAGCTGTATCCATCAGATACAAAGTTTCCTTGGAGTTCCTTTTTTTATATGGCTGCACTTCAGAAATGGAAACCTAAGTTCATAGAATCACTAAGGTCAGAAAAGACCTCCAAGATCACCGAGTCTGACCTTTGACCAACATCACTAAGTTGTACTTGCTGTCCCCAGCATTCTCTAATAAAATATTTTCCACAGAGCACTTGGAGATGGCCTCAGTACAAACTGAAAATAGTACATACACCTGACTGAACTGTGCCATTTTCTTAATGCTTTTTTTTGAAATACATATGGTTGTGGTGGACTGTAGCTTAACTACTGGACACAGTGACTGCTCAGACAACTTACAGCCCTAAAGTTTATCATGAAGAAATGGCTATGAGGATTAGTAAGGTTTGTGTTAACTGTTCCAGGGAACAGCTACACCTTTAGTAGCTTTCTGCCACTTCAAGTAAAGACACTGAGCTGAGTGTACTGAGAACACTTACCAAGCTTGACTGCTGTTGACATTTACACAGTTACAATCTTCTGAAAATCAAGTTATCTTTCCAAGTGTGTCATTAAATAAACATCATTTTAGAAGACAGACTTTGTACTTCTTGGTGGATGCACTCACAATCTTGCCAGCTGTTCTCATGCTTAAAAACAAACAAAAAAACCAACCCACCAAAAAAAACACACAAAGGAAAAAAAAACCCAACCCACTTTTTCAGTGAACTTTATTCAGACTTTTGGTCTGATTATTGTTTCCTGATACATCATTTCCTTCATCTTTCCCAAATGATCACCTTTCCTTTCTTTGTTTAAATGAGCAAGAACAATCATGCTAAGTTTTAAAGGGAGTTTTAAAATAAGGCTTTTCAGGTGAAAAGTAGAACAGCGAATTACAAGGTGCAAACAGCCCTGACTAGGAAAAGTTCCTAAGCCTTCAGGCTTACCTATTAAAAGCATGCCTCTCCCCTTCCAGCACTTGCAGTTCATACTTCCAAGATATGGTATTGCTTACATTCACTGTGATAAAGAAAAAAGACACTGGGAGAGCCTGGAAGCTGAGAAATCCAAAGGAAGAGAAAAGGCAAGTAGGTTTCTGAGCCTCTGAACCTGATCTGTCACATCAGGTGTGCTCAGACTTCTCTGTTCTGCTAATAGATTTGGTTGTCCAGGACAGGGGGCTGTGCCGAAAGACAGGAGCTGCATCAGTTTTACACAGATCACAAAAGCAAGTTCTACTCAGCTCTAGAGAAAGACTCATCCTTCCAGAAGAAAAAGAGTGGAAGTCAAGAGGGTTTAAAAGGCAGGAGTTCAAGTTACACATACCATGTAAGTGCAGAATGCTTTCAGCAGTATTCTTTCCAACTTTTATAAGAACCATGAGCTATGGATAAAGGGACTACCCATGCTGTATGAATTAGATATGGCAATAAAAGAACTTTGTGGTTATTAGTAGACAGCTTTATTAAAATACAGTCTTTTCCAATCAGTTTAACAATCCATTTGATGATTGCATATCACTTAAGGCCTCCCACTTCTTTTTTTTTGTTTCTCTGGAAGTTAAGAGTGGAAAGCCTTCAAGCAGTTGAGGCACCATCAGTTCTGATATAAATTCAAGTTTAAAGAGAAAAGTAAGTGTGAGCAGTTAAAAAGCTTACTGCAAGTGCAAATGGAACTACTCTTTCATGTTTAAAATTATTGCATGTATTTTTTTTTTTAAATCTTAGCAGTTTAAGAGTAGTATCACAGTATTGATTTGAGTGTCTGAACACTCATGGAACACAGTTCCAAGTTCATAAATTTTTTATTTTAGATGATGTGTTTTAAGAACACATGGATCAGTTGGAACAGATGGATGTGTTACTTAATTTTACATCGTGAGTGCTTGTATTTCCTGAAGCATCCACTCAAGGTCTGTAATTGATTTCTTTAAAATAGACACAAATTTCATAGTGAATTTAACAGTATTCAAGTTCAGTGAAGATACATGAAGCCAATTAAGCTGGGCAGTTTCAGCCATGCTGAACACTGATTAGTATGTCAATTAGACATAGTCTGCATTTTGTACTGCAATTGTAAAGTCTTCTAATGTCTTTATGTCTAAGTACCAATCTTCTTGCCCTTTAAAACATTAAAGATATCTTCTAGTGACTTGTATATACACCGAAGGAATTCTTCACCATTCCTAGTTGGGTAAGAGGAAACATTACAACCTATCCAGTCGTCATGTACCTGATATCCTAATCCAAAGCCATCAGACACCACGGGGCCAAACCCTCCCAGCTGCACAGCTGGGCTGACCAACGTGCTTGTGGAAATGATGTTGTGGTTGAGCCGAGCATAGGCCTGGTCTTGATAGAAATCAGGCAGAACAAGCCCTTTGGATAAGGCCAAATAGCGCAGGCCGAAGAGATGGCGGTCAAATCCCTGCCCTGTTCAAATCAAATAACATGTATTAGACAGATGGGTCATTTTTGTGGGAAGTCAACTCATTTATTTGGACATCACATTGTTTTTCAGCCACAAAAGAGGTCTGTAGAAGTGGGGTTCATTTTTGTATTAGCGGGAATTATTTTTCAGAAGCCAGACATTCTGCCCTTCTCATGCACACATCCCAGGGGAAGAGGGGCTGTTTTACTGCAAGAATCAACCAGGATTATGAGAGTACACTGAAGTGCAATGCTAACAGACAATTTTAATAATACATCACATTCTTTGATTAACTATTTATCCAAACACATCCAAGTTGTTTAAAGCAGAAAAAAAGCTTTCCTAAAACTTTATAATCTAAAGAGGAAGAGGATCTTGCATCAACAGAAGGAGGCCAATTTTAGCCTCTATGGGGTAATGTTCAACAGTCTATTTTACTGAAATAATAAACCAAGTTATGCTTCTGGGAAGGACAATTAAAAAAAAAAAAAAAAGAACATTTTGAAAAATGCCAGGAGTAGACTAGCCAAAAATATCAGTTTGATTTGGAAGTTGTTACAGCCTTTATCCCCTGCATGGATACAGACTTAAAGCCAAAGTTCTTGGTTGCCCTGCAGAGTACAACATGCACTAAGTATTTATCAAATCTTCCAATACCCCAGCTGCCCTGAGGACAAAAAAAAATTATAAAAAATTCTCAACACATTAACAGTGATGAGGAAATCACAGAGGCATTCCTCTCCATCAAGAAACGAGTTACAGAAGGCACTTTAAACTGCAGCCTTTGGCTACTGTTTTTGTCAAGTTTACATTAGCATCAGACCACCATCAAAATTAAATTATTTGGTTGTAAATTAAATATTTACAGACCTTTTCATGCAAAAGCAGAAGTGTATGATCTGTTCCTACTCACCCATAGCAGCTTCTTTTGTCAAGCGGCCGTGGTACTTGGAGCACTCCACTATCAACTTCTGCAGCTCTTCTGTGCTATGTTTGGACAGTTCCTTGACAAAAGCTTCTGAGCATTTCTTGGTGTGGACAGAGGCAGGACGGATCGTTTCTGTACGGCCGTGTTTGAAAGCTGCAGTGCTGCAAGACTCGTACGTAGCAACAGTCTGGTTGTACTGGCGAAGGAAACCCATCTGGAAGGCCAGCTGAGCCACAGCATCGGGGCTCACCTTCTTCTGCTTTAGAAGCTCCTTGCCCCCTTCTTGGAACTGAATCATGTTAATAGACAGTGATTCTACAGTGGTATCGAATTTCTGTTTGGCTTTGGTAATCCCTGCTTTTAAGGCATCATTCAGCTTAAAGTCAAGTTTCTGCACTGCTTTAGAGGAGTCTACTGAAGCAGGTTGGGACTGGGGGCTGATGGCTGGTGAGTTGGTGCTGTCTTTAAAAACCTCATTCTGGAACCTGAGCACAGCCACACCATCTCCCCAGGAATGTTCAAAATTGATTCCTGCAGTGCCATCCTTGGTTATGATGAGATTAAAGGACTTGTCATACCAGCGGTTAGCACCATCCCCATGCAACATAGTGTGGGACAAGTGCACAAAGTCTTTAATGGGAAAATCATCTAAACTTAAACAAAACATAGCAGAGTCTACTTTTTGAAGAGCTTCTTCATTGCCATTATCCAGTAGGTTCTTTCTCAGCGATGCCCACGTGTCTCGGTTTTCACTGGAGAGGTAGCCAAGAGGGAAGGCTGGGGCTGGACTGTTGTCACTAAGGATGTATTTCAAGTGTGCTTGTATCTCTGAGGGTTTCAGCATGTTTCCATCTCTATCAATAATGTCAAACACATAAAAATTTCCATTTCTCAGTACTAGTAAATGCTTTGCCTTTTCGTCTGTATAAAGCTCATCTTTCTCGAGCTTAGGCACCCGTGTGGAATTGAAAAGCCTGAAGTACTGAGACATGTCCAGGGGGTAAGCATTGACCATGTAGGCACCAAACCAGGACACTGAAGAAGGCACAAATCGGATAATTTTTTTAAAGAGTTCAGTGTCACTTTTTTCTGGATTGAGGTGAAAAACCTCTGGTTCCAGATAACCAGCCCTGAAGGTCTTCATAAAACGTATGGCAGAAACAGTCATGTTCGTAGCTCGTGTGAGCTGATCATTGTATTCCGGTTTGGGATCAGGATTAAAAGACATAAATGCATTAAAATTCAAAACAACAGGCTCACGTGCTTTTAGGTACATGTCAAACCAGGGACCTGAAAATTGAGAGTTGAGAAATAGGTCAGAACATAAAAACAGCTCACTGAGTCAGAGCAGAGGTTTGTGTAGTCCAACAGTGATCATGAATAAACACACACTGAAGTGCCTACAAACACAACAAACATATGCAGTAATTCACCCAACACCTCACATTTGGAGTGGTACATCCCTTTACCTACTCTTAAACTATTAATTTCTGCAACTCTCTGTCACTGAGGTTGAACCTTCTAGCTGGGCTGTAAGAAGGGCAACAGGTAGCTCAAGGACCTAAGTTACAATTTTAATTACAGTTTCTCACAGGTGAGTAATAGGATTCATCTACAGTTTGAAAACCACATCTGTCATCATCACGCAACCTTTTAACCCTGGACTTGAAAGTCTAAGGTGGAGGCAAATATACATACTTTTAGAAACCAATTTGAAGTAGAACAGGTCTTTTATGAGGCCTAAAGAAGAATAATAACTAAACAAAAAGTAATACAGATGCCCCACAGCTCACGGACAAAAAGCACTGATGAACAACATAAAGCCACTAGTTAAACCCCTAGATGGTGTTCAAAGTGAATGGAAAGTTAAATACAACAAATCAAACAGCAGTTTTTGTAAAATAATCTGGTACTCTACAGAATTTATGGTAGCTAACACCCTTAGAGGAGGCCTCAACAGAGAGCAAGGACAGAAGTGCATTCACTGGGTAACATGGCAACTTCCACTTCCATAGGTATTTGAATATTTCCACCTCTGCTGTTATCTATCCAATACTTCCATAAGCAGACACTTCTACGTGGAAGTCAGTGGAAAGAGTATAATCAATGTGTTTTTCTTTATTCTCATTTTCCTCTTCTGTTGCTTCTTTTCTTTGTGTCTTCAGAAGATTATGGTTTTGTAGTTTTAGGGGTTTTTAAGTCCAGAGCACTGACCACTTCTGCCTCTCAAACTTAGTTATATTCTCTGACCCCTTCCCTCCCTTAGAGTTTAGTTTTCTTACTAAATAACATGGAATTATTTGGAAATGATTGCTTTAGTTTCCTTAACGGAGCTACTAGATAAGCTGCTCTTTAACCTAAACCTAAACAGACAGCCACAGTGTTCACAACATGTTATTCCAAGTTTATGGATTACTTAAGCTTCGGCCTATTATATTTGTAGCATAATGGGATGTTACCAAGCATGATGATCTACAGACTCCTCCAAAACCCAGCAGGCCAACGTACCTGTGATATAACTAGTATGCTTGTTCTGATTGTCTTGAGCAACCAGTTGCTCATGTAGCTCTCTTCCAACTCCCTTTTCAAAGGCATGAGCGAGTTCTTCAGTTTTCCTGCAGTAAATAAGAAAACAGTCAAAATAGGACTGTCACAGTCCTATTTTTTATCTGTATCACTTGGCTCTGACACAGCACATGACACTGCAATATGTGTTTGTCCATACCTGAATTGGTCATCATTTAAAAGCGGTTTCTGGGCATTCAGATATCTCACAATTGTATCTTCCAGTTTGGGAACAGGCAATCTGAAGGAAGTGGAACACAGACACATGCGCTTTATGAGCAAGGGTACAAATGAAGCCTGAGTTTCTTACAGAGTAGTGTCTCTTTGCCTCCCTTCTTCCCTATCCTTCCTAATACCATTATATATACCATACTATATATATATATGGATAATATATATACAGATTCTCCAAATGCCTCATAAGTTTCTTGTGGAATAAGAGAAGTAGGGGAATAGACAGACACGGGTCAGCACAGCCTACGATCCTTGGGAAACAAGGCAGAGAAGCAACTTGACGGGCTTGTTACAAAGGTACTGCGGTGATGGGTGGTAACCCCTCCCAGGGACCACAGTGACAGGAACCACTGCCCGGAGAAGCTCCGCAGAAGGCTGCCACAGCCCTGCTTCAGCCCTTCCCCTCACTGCGGGGTGCTGGACATCCACTTTCTTACAAATTTCCTATCCGGTATATCTTTGCCAACTTCTTCTCAGAACAAGAAAACATTTTCCTTACTATAAAACAATCCCGATACGCTCCCGGGGTTCCTTTGCGACCCAAAGGGATATTTCAGTAGCAGGCTTACAACCATATTTACACTTTAAAAACCCAACCCATCCCTCCGCAGGGAGAGCGGGAAGCGCACAGCTCGGAGCCGAGGGAGGACATTCCCTCAGCCCCCGCCTCAGCGCGGACACCCCGCACGGCCCCCGCCCCGCGCCCCCGGAGCGCTCCCCGCGGGTGTCCCGGGACCCGCCGTACCTGGGCAGGCTCCTCTGGTAGTGCATGGTGGGCACGATGCTGCGGTGCAAGAACTCGGCAGCGCCCGCGCTGCTGTACCCGCGCCGCCCGCGGCCCGGGGCCGCCCTCAGCAGCTGCCGCGCCGCCATGATAGCAGCGCGTCAGCGCCGCCCGCCACGCTCGGCACCACCCGCCCCCGCCGGCACCGCCCACCATCTTCGGCACCGCCCGCCATCCCTGGCACCGCCCGCCACCCTCGGCACCGCCCGTCACCACCGGCACCGCCCGCCACGCTCGGCACCGCCCACCATCCCTGGCAGCGCCCGCCGCTGCCCCCGGCAAGGAGGGAGGAAAACGAATCCTTTTCCCTGTTATTATTCCATTAAGAAAGTCGGTTCGATGCGTGCCGTCAAGGCAGCAAGGTTATCAGGGTATTGGAAAATGTCTGGAGTGGCGTGGCTCGCCATCAGCCGTCTTTTACATAGCCGTTAATAAAATGTGCATTGAGAAGTTAAATCAGAAACACAATATTAAATAATAAAACTATTAATGCATTAATAAAGTTTCCTGCTATCCTCTTGTTTTGACAGCACTCTTGTTCAACATACAGACTCCACTTATTTTTCCTCTCTTTTTTTTTTTGTGTGTGTGTGTGTCCGTATGTCCTACTCTTTATACAGGATTCGGATCCTGCCTCCAAGAGAGCAGTTTAATCCCTCTTGAGCTTTTTTACTCACATGTGAGCATGTAACGACAATTCTGTATCACAGTATAAAATGTAAAATTGTAAACACACATTGTACTTTTGTTGTGTTGTGTCCAGTATTTTCTGTAAAAACACTGAATAATATTAGAATATCCCAGAAGCTCCGGAAATGCTCTCGTAAGAAAGCGTGGCACAGCAAATGGTGATGAGGAGTGTATTTTTATCAGATACTCACCAGCATAAAAATCAGCGTTGGGATTGAATGCGGACACAGCAAAGGAAAGGAAAGCAATCCCTGTGGCTTAGTCTCATAATCCTCTGAAAGTAAATTGGCCCTACTCTAATCAACATAGTGGTTGGAAGAAAAGTGAAATCATTTCACTTCCAAGACAATAAATGCCAAATGCCAGAAGATGTCCTTGCATGTTTCAGTCTGCGGCTGTTTCCTGTTCAATGTGTGTCTCTTACGCTGCTCATTCAGCCTTTTTTTGGCCATGATAATGAAAAACCCCAGCCTGCTTTAATTAATGAAGTCCAGTTTCACCTAGCTTGCCCTGTTGTGATAGTCGTTCCAAATGTTACCTGCCCTGCCCTTACTGCAGTAATGTTCCTGTTCCCTGTGTGAGTGCTGACTCGTAGAGTTCCCTTTCCAGGTTTGGGTGTCCAGACCCCAAATTCAGAGACTGAGGAAGGCACCATCTTTCTCCCGGGAGTGTCACTTTGTTTTGAACTAGTCTTGTTTTAGAAATACTACTGCATTCTGTTCTAATTTTCCAGAGCCCCCTAATCTTCTTCCAGGCTCTTAATGATGTAGTTGATAATAGGATTGTTGGTATTAATTTGGAACAATAACGCCAGCTGCTTGCTTGGTGGCTATTGGCAGAGGGGTGACCTTGCAGGTCAGCTAAGCAGAACTGGAAGTGCTTTGATCTGATCTATACAGAGCCAGATCCGTCCACCCGAACAAGAGGAGTGAGGGAATTCTCTCCTCATGGGATGCTGATTCTTCCCCGCAGAGCACAGAGCACAGCATGGCGGTGGCTTTGGATGCAATCCTCGCTCGGATCAAGGATGTTTGTAAAAGGAATGGTTTGCTCATCCTCTCCGTGTTGTCCGTCACCATCGGCTGTCTCCTTGGATTCTTCCTGAGGACGAGACGACTCTCCCAGCAGGTAAGAGTGGGCACGGCAGCAACACTGCGGAGAAAATACCACACTTATGTAACAAAAGACATATGGAACTTGTGCAACTTCAGCACGGGCTTTGGAACATAAAAATTGTGTGTATATATTTGTTAAATTAGTTTAATTTCATCTGTTTGTTGATCTAAGTTGGTCTTTGGGTCCTTTCACACGTTCTCAAACAATACATCGGCAAAGGGTTCTGGTCTCTAAGACACCTGGTAAGTGAGGCATAAACACACCAGAATGTTGCAAGTATGGATAATAATAGTGGACATTTAAGCTAGATGAGATGTAGCATCTAATATAGACCTGGAAAAACTGGTAGTGCAATATATTGGATTTTATATTATTTTGGAATACGTATGTCTAAAGAAAACACTGGGAATATTTTTCAGTATCAGATGCACAGAGGTGTACATGTTTATATCACAGCAATGGCGTTCCATGTTAATAAATTTGAGATTTCCCATCATTAGCAGACCGTGTTACTGAAGTCACTTGGGGCTTTCTCCCCCAGCACACTTCAACCAAGACCTTGGGGTTGCTCATTTCTGCTGCATTAGTCAGACAGACCAGACAATAACCTGCATTGCTGAATGTGTTGTTTGAGCACAAAATATAAATCTCAGTTTAAAAATATGGCATTTAGTACATGCAGCCAAACTAAACCAATTCTGTTTTCTGCTATGGCAAACCACTGTCTGAGCATCGTTTGTGTCCAAGCAGTAGCTTCACACATACTTAGGAAAACACACAAAATACAGAATGAAGAGATTATTCAGAGCAACCTATTAATGACAGTCCTCAAGTGATGACATATTTAATTTCTGTCTTCCTTTGTAAAGGAATGAACCATGTAGGGTGTTTATTGAATAGCAACATATTATGTAATCTAATTAATTTTAAAATGATCTTTTGAAGCCTGGTATCTTTGCCACCTTACATGCCAAAGCTGCAGATTTTACCCATGTTATCTGATCCCCAGCTCTGGCAGCACTTGTGAAGGCAGACAGTCTTTAGCTCAAAACAATAAGCATCTCTTCATGTATTTCTAGGAAATTAGTTACTTCCAGTTTCCTGGTGAGTTACTGATGAGGATGCTGAAAATGCTGATTCTCCCACTGGTTGTCTCAAGGTAAGTGAGGACAACAATAGTTCCAATAACTTTTCACCTTTCCTAAATGAGACTTGTCATCACCACTGTTTTACTTGTGACAGAATTAAGTGACAATGCCAGAGGCATCACTGACTGCTGTGCATTTGTGTTTATAGTGGAGCCATGAACATGTTTTTTAATCAATAGGATCATTTCTGCAATATCTCGTATAGCTATTATTGGCTTTAAAATTAATGTGTGGGGATTTTTATTGTTTTCTTTTTCCCTTGTAATGGGAGGACTTTTTCTTTCAAGCTAACTAGAAGTTAAATATATGGAATAAATAACACACCTTATCAAAAAAACCACCTTAAGTCTAAATTATTGAAACAATACACTGTTCAAATAAGATGAAAAAGCACAGTTATTTATAGTGTCCTGCAGTATTTTGAGAGATGTGCTGTAATATGATGAATATTGAAAAAACTTTATGTCTAATAATATATGCCTGGCTTCAGCTGGAAGTGAAAGTGATTTCTCAGTACATTAAAGGCAGAACCTTTAGTGGTGCCACTTTATTGGTAGCAGCACTAATGATCTAGATCCTGTTCTGACGGACAGTGCATGGGAGCTGCCTTTGCAGTGGGAGGGCATGACTTAGGAGAGGTTTTTCTCTCCTCTGAGCTTGACTGTCTTCCAACTGACTACAGTCCCAACCACACACCAGTTACGAATGGCCAGTGCTAACTTGTGTGCCCAGTGCTTAGGGAAGATATAAGAAGAGTAACAAAGCTAACTTTACCAGACCTGAGAAAAAATTATTGCAATATTTGGTGCCTTTCCTTGAAGCCTCGGTTTTTGAAACCTAATACATACACCAAGACCTCATCTTCCACTTTAAGAAAGAATAAATTTGTAGTCTTCAGATTGAAGAGAGTTGCTGCAAATTAACAAAACTGAGCATTAATTTTAATTTTAAATTATCTGCCTTTAGATCTGCCTTCTCATGGTCTTTCACAGAGCAAAGCTGAGTCATGGTGCTCTGTGCACGAAACTGTTCACGTGGCCATAGACTCACTCCGGTTCTGTCCCATGCAGCAAGACAACATCAAGACAAAACATGTAAAGAGATTTTTTTTGAGAGGTGGAAGGAGAGTTTTCCAATGAAAACAAGAGTCTCACAGGAGGAAGTGACAGAGTAAGGAGGACAGAAAAGGGTTGGAGCAGATTCACATGCCCTTCCCTAAAATGTGTAGTTCTTTAGATCCTCTTGTATTTTTCAGAGATGTTAGGAACAGCAACAGCACAGCAGGGGAGAGCTGCTCTGACACAACCTGTGATGCCTCAGGTTACCTACAGATGTGTCAGGAGTGAACCTCTGAGCCTGAGAAGAAACTTTGCAGACCCTCAAATGGATTAACTCCCCTTGCACGACAGTATGAGTCCATCTCTGTGTGTAACAAACTATCACTTGCTATTTCAAACTGAAATGTCAGGGGTTTGCAAGTAAAAACTACTCGATGCAATTAAATTTTCCACACATCCATTTCATAAAATCAGTAAACCCATGCTCTGTATTTTTACCAATCTGCATGCACATTTAAACCACATTTCTTTGTGGATCTGGAATAGTCTCAGCCTGTCCTGCCAGAGCAAAGGCATTTAAATTATCTTTTAAATTACTCTCTATTATTGTTTACAAAAGCCAGAGGTACAGCACCATGAAAAGAGCTCTAAATATTGCTCTCCTAGTTGAAATTAATGCAAGTTTTTCCTTATATGCACAAATCAAAAAATTACTTGTAAAGTAATAGCTTTCTAATCTAAGAAAGGAAGATTAAAAGGACTGAGTGCAAAATACTCCATCTCCAAGTCTAGAGTTTATTTTGAAGGGTTGTAGCAGAAGTAAAATGTGGTAACTGTGTGGGTCAGAAGATTGACAATAGACTAGAAAATCTTGCACTTACAGGCCACTAGCACAGATCCAGCCTTTTACAGAAATGCCTGAAAATTTGTACTTGATAGTTAGAGAGTAAAACAGGAACTTTGCAGATTGTATCCATTAGGAATGAGGAAATTATTATATAGTCAGCTATCTCTGAATGGTGTTTATTTTAAAAGTTTCCTGGAAGCAGAAGAAATCAGTTGAACAACATGAGACTGTCTCTTCAATGGACAGTTTCTTGTTTTACCCAACTCTGTCCCAGCACCTGGAAGTGCTCTATCCCACAGCTCCCATACCTGTTCTGATGTCTCCTGTCACCCATGGTCTTACTTCTTCTTTTGTCACAGACAGAAAAATCTTGGAAAAGCAATCACCACCCACTAGCCTGCCAGTTTGAGCCCTGCATGAGCTTTCGGTTTTGTTATGGCCTGGACCTTCATTAAGGATGGGGGTTGATATTATTTCAGTTAGTAATTACATAATTACATTTATTACATAAAAAAGCTTCACATCATCATAGAACGACTCTGAAATAACTATATATTTATTGCACCCATCCTCTGCCTGAGCTCTAGCCCTGCTCATACCTATCAGTATCCTCTGTGTCTCATGTATATAGTTTGCTTTTCTCATTGATGAGGAAAAGTATCCACACAGCAGAGGATGCCACTTCTGTTAGCAACAGAAATTTAAAAATCAGACAAACAGTCCAACAGATTGTGTCTGCCCTGGGGATACTCAGTAGTGGCTGTTACAAAATTTTAGACCCCGTAGTTACCAGATGTACAGTGCTTACTATATGTATACACATAGGATACTATTCTTAAACCTGGGAATGGGAATATTAAGAGAGATGAAAGAGGAGCCAAATCTGAATTCATAGTTACACACTTAGGCACTGCCTGAGCTCCTACTGCAGTTGGACAGAGAGATGTCCTCAACAAGCCTGAAATATCAGCTGCAGGGGATCTGAAGTTCCCTGATTCTCTCTGGGACGGTGTCTTCAATCCTCATTTGACAGCTGCAGTGCAAATAGGATATTTTCTTCCTTACATGCCAAGGTTTCAACACATATCTCAGGTTTTTATCAGGTGTGGCAGAGGCGTCTCCCTGTGCATCCTGCCCTGAGAATTCGGAGATGTTAAAAAAACCGCGGGGCCGAGTCTGCAGACAGTTCCCGCTGCTCAGGTTTGTTAAACCTTTCCCGGCATCTCCTGCACTTCCCGGCGCGGGCCCAGGCCCGGGCTGCGACACCGCCCGCGGCCACCAGGCGGCTCCGCTGGGACACCGAGGGACCGCATCCCGGGGAT